ACCAGATGCCCGAGCCACCTCAGCTGGCTCCTCTCGACGTGGAGGAGCAGCGGCTCTACTCTGAGTCCCTCCCGGATGACCGAAGAAAATCTCTAAAAATCAAAAATATTTGGCTTAAAAATAGGAACAAAATCTAGAAAAATATAAATAAAGTTTATTCTGAGTTGAGCTTTCTACACCAAAATCAAAAAATGACTGAAAAATTCTGTTTCTTTGACTTGAAAGTCAGCCGGCTGTCATGAGAAGAATGCAGTGTGTATATATTAACAATTTCACACTTAAAGTATTAGCTTTGGGCCAGATAAAAATGTTAACGAGGGCCAGATTTGGCCTGCGGGCCTTCAGTTTGACAAATGTTCCAGGGAACAAGAAGTTGCTGCAGTTTCTCACCTTCTTCATCATTTAGAGCCTCAGGTTTAAACAGAACTGCGTGTTTTCCTCTCGTTAGAGGAGAATAAAAGGTTCGGCCTTCAGCTGAACTGACATTTTGAGTGGAAATGCGTGTGGCGTTCTGTGATGGTGGAGCTCAGTTCAGGTGCATTAGAAACGGCCCACGCTCTGGTAATTAATGCAGGTCCTGCACAGATGAATTTATGCGTTTTGCAGCTGGCAGTGTGTCCCTCCCTCATTGTGTGTGTGTGAGCTGAGGGGAAGTTGAGTGTGATCGCAGTGAGTCACCTGTGCATAATCTGCTTTTTGTCACCACGTTCGACTGACACAACCCAAACGCGTAGTATGTGTGTGTGTGTGTGTGTGTGAGCGTTTTACGGTGTGACCACTTCTCCTGCTCCACACAACTCCTATAGCTCTCACTTTTCTTTACTCCTGACTCTCAGCTGCTAACAGGACAAGTTTCAAATCAATATTTCACAAACRGACTGACTTAAAGCTGTTTTTGTGTCGTGTGATATCACTTTAGCCGTGGCAGCCATCTTGATTTAGCATGAATCCAAAGTTAATGGGTTGTAAATGTGCATCATAAGAATTTTGTTAAAGATATTTTGCTAACAGACAGACCGGGTTGACGCTGACAGTTGAATGCAAAGTTTTAAGAGAAATTATTGCACAACYTGTAAGTGCTCGAGTTATGTATTGTGGGTAAAGCTCAGCTACTACTCAAACCAAACTTTAGCTCAACTTTCTCAAGATTCACTGAGTTACTGCCAATCTTGCGTTGGATGTTATCGATTATCTGCAGCGGCCATCTTGAATGGGATTGGTATCAAAAGMTAATCATCTGTAGTTGCTTATTGAYTGATTAAYCTCTGAGAGTTTTGTTAAACTTAGTGCAATGGTTCATGAGATAWTTTGCTAACAGACACATGAACAATTATTTGTTATGTTCTTGTTAAAATGGACATTTTCCAGATGTGACACACTTTTTCACAGCTAAATGTCAAGCGGCATTTTAATTTCTGAATTTTTCTGCTCGATTTAGGTGACACAGAAACCGTGTGATGGTGTGAAAATAGCCACTGGAAAATTAGCAACCCACACTGAGACGCACAGACAGCACATGCTAACATTGTGTAATAWTGTCTTAGTTTGTTTTTATTTTGTGTGTGTGCMTTTGTGGTTGGTSCAAATTTAGTCTTGGCCTTTTGACATTTAACAAAGAAGCACTTCAGGAAGTCAGAGAAAAGCCTGAGTCTGCGCTTGTTTATTTTCACGTCCAACGACTGCGACCCTGGAGTCTGCAGCTCAGATCGTTAAAGAGGTTTGGAAGTGGAGAGACCTGATTTGAAAGCACGCAGAAAAACCGGCTTCTCGTTGTGAGAAGATTCACGTGYGACAGCAAGCCTTCAAACTACAGGACCTGAAAGTTTGATTCAGCTGGCTCGTGTCCTGTCACACCAGCGTGTTGTTGAGTCACGGCAGGCCTTGAGTTTCAAAGTAAAGGTGCGCCTGACGGAGCAGGAGATAAAAGGAGCCGAGAGAAGAAAACAAACTTCAACGTAGTTATACGTAGAGATAATTAACTCCTCGGCCTGTTTCTGAACCAGTTCATCCAGGATGCTTTGAGGCTCGGTCAAGTTCACGTTCCTCCTCCTACCCTGAAGAACTCACTGTAAAAAACTGAACCTACGCAAGATGGCCGCCACAGCTAACACCGAAATGTCTGCAACACCATCAGTTTGACAAAAACAGAGGGAGGATTTGATGRGTGACAGAGTTGGGCAAAATCGTCCCCTCCACTTCAAATATAACGAACATTTTTTTWAAAAAAAGCTCCGTAATTTATTTATCATAACTCTGGTTTTACTTGGTTCATCAACACAATTTAAAAATTGATGCATAGCCTGAAGTCTGTACTTTTGACACAGTTTGGAACAGATTTTTATGAAGAGTGATTTAAATTGGTCCTGTGACTAGGACACGCAGACGTCCAGGGACTTCGGGGGATTAATCATCACATTAATCGTTATCAGCTAAACACCACAATTAATCGTGATTCATTTTTTTAGCCAATATGAGCCGAGAGCCACAAAACACTGTGATGCTACTTTCTTTAATTCTTATTTGTGTAATAATCCCCAGGAATCTGAATCCTTAACAGGACAGTAAGAACAGTTCTGCTAGCCTAATCCGCTCACAYCTAACAGCGAAGCTAACTGAAGCGAATTTGCATTGAACTGCTAACTTTAAGTCTAACAAACAGCTCATGATACTTTGTGCAGTTTGTTTACTTGCCCATTCAACTGCTTGTAGTTTGAATTGTTTGGTGGACAAAGAAATGTCTTTTTTTGAGCTTTTAGCCAAGATTCCAATGTTTTTGTGGCTATTATACTTAGCTCTTGAGTTAGCGGTTATCAGTTAGCGTTAGCATCCGCTAATTTTCTTGTTTAGTGGTTTATTGTTTGCAATGCTAATTTTTTTACTTACAGTAACAGATTAGTGAAGCTAACTTTTTGGCTAACTGTATACCTCCATGGTAAGAGTTGAAATAGTGTTTTTTTCTGTCTGGAAGATGATAATGACATTAAAATGGTGGCTACAGAAAGCTGCAGTTGTAATATTTACTCTGTTTTCAGTCCACCTTGCTAATGTTTGTCTCCCAACACGCTGACGACACAAAGACAGAAAGAATCTGTTCCCCGCCAAAATAAAAGCTAAAACCATCCGTGATGGTGGATATCATCAGTAAACAAGTACGTGACATTTAGGAGAACCCTGCTGCAGATTTTAGATGAAGAGCGAGACGTGAGAGTGTTTGACTATCATCAGAGTCCCTGTTTCATTTCCTGTTTTCATTCACAACACAGATTAAAGTGAGCTCCTTTAAAGCCAAAAGGTCAGACCTGCAAAACCATGTCTGGCTCATTTCCCACAAAATTACAAGATTTAGGATTTTACAAAAGAAAATTCTAGGAATTCCTTCTCTATAAAAACACATTTTATGTTTAGGGGTGAGTTCATCATCCTGTTGTGAACTATTAGAGATGTTAGACTGAGATAAATGAGATTTAAAACAGCATTAAAGGATAACTGAAAGTCTCAGATTGATCAGACAGGATTAAAACACGTCTCGACACTAAGTTTAAACACAACAGTCGCCGCCGAGTCTCCTCCTCTTCAGTCGCTTTGAAATCGTTGACTTTTTAAAGTTTTATTTGTTTATTTGACTGTTTGTTTTGCTGAAACAGAGCAAACCCTGGTGGAAGCTGAAGACGTACGTCCGCTGGCCTTTAAACGCCGCCAACAGGAGGAAACTGAACTGGGTCCAGCTTGCCGGACATAAAGGTACCGTGTGTTCTGACCCGTTCAGACAAGTATTTCACTGATTACAGGATTTATTGGAGACYCCAGTACTGCAGCTATGAGCCTGTTGTATTACAAAAGATGATGAAAACAGAGACTTTRACCAATATTTACAAGTTTTAAAGTTTGTCTGGAGGATTATTTGTCCAGAGTTAGTCAGCAGAATGTCAGGTTCTGCAGCAAAATTCTTCTTTTTATTTTCTTTGGACATGTTTCATGTTCCTTAATTTAAGTTAATCAGGAACAAATGCTTAAAAAATCTAATTTTTAAAAAAGTGTTTATAAATTATTTGTTAAAAACAACTCGTCTTCATGAGGGAAGGTTTTAAAAACAAGCAGATTTGAATAAAATCAGTCACGCAGAGCGAAGCATCAGATGTTTCAGACAGAAGTAAAAACCATCAGGAGTTTAAAGTGTTGTTGCAAACATAAATCTGACTTCTGTTGTTGCAGAAAAGTGAATCTTTCCTTTTGGATTTGAATGAAGTTTAAATATATAGTAAAAAGAGCCAGGAATGTAAAAATGAACTGAATTCACGTGTTTTGTGTGCACGAAACATGACTTCTGCGTGGGATTGAAATCGCTTCCCTCACTTGTGTGTCTTTAATCCCGTTTCAGGAAACTTCAAGGCCGCGGATGAGGGCACCATCCTGAAAAAGTTCTCCGACAACGAGATGCGGTGCTTCGAGAAGCTGAGGGACGACGCGCTGCGCCCCTTCGTGCCCGGCTACCTGGGCCTGGTGGAGAAGGACGGCGAGTCCTTCCTGCAGATGACCGACCTGCTGGCTGACTTCGACCATCCCAACGTGATGGACTGCAAGATCGGCGTGAGGTAAGACCAGAACGTCAGGGCCTCTGTTTGCTGTTTGGTGTGTAAACATTGAGAGTAATGTCCCCCCTCGCCTGTGCCTCGGCTTTTAACGTGTTTTCGATGGCTGGCCGTCAACAGCCGAGTTCTGTGGAAATGAAATGTGAATAAAAAGTGCAGCCGAGTGACGCGCTCTGACTGRATAAGGGAACACCTGTTGTAACTGCAGGCTGTATGCTTGGCTTCCTGCCACAGCGGGTGGAGGACACACACACACAGGTTTGTTTTTACATCCCCCTGGGGACCTTGAATTGATTTCCGTTCATTTTATGGTAATTTTATCTCCTAACCCTGACCTTTTTACCGTAAAATTAACCTCACAGGTACCTACCTGACCCTAAAACTAACCTAAACTCAATTCACACACACACACCAATGCACACACTTATTGTGCTTGCTACTTTCATGGGGACTTTGCATTGACTTCCATTCATTTTCTTTCACTTCTATGGCCCAACCCTGACCCTAAACCTAACCCCCCGGCCCAAAAACTGCATTTAAAATTACGGGGCCTGAGCTTCAGGCTGCATAAGGAGCTATAGGTCCCCACAAGGTGGTCTATTTGTTTAAAAATGGGCCTTGCAAGGCAACACATGCTAGAACACACACACACACACACACACACACACACACACACACACACACACACACACACACACACACACACACACACACACACANATTTTTAATAAGATTTTTTTTTATTTTAAACTTAATTTGTTTTTTGTTGTTTTGAATCCACAAAATACTTTTTTGGGGCCAGCACTGATTGGCCAAGCAATCTCACATGATCCTCTGCAGCAAGTGATGGCCAAGCAGGGCGTGTCATCACGACTTTACACAAGTGTGTCTTTACCTCCACGGCAGAGGCTCCACCGAACCCGAGACCGGCTCATCGAACCCCTAGGGTTCGACCGAACCCAGGTTAAGAACCACTGTAATAGTCTGAGTCCAAAGATTATTCTGTTGTAGAGTTACGTTTGATATTTACTCAAAGTTTCCTTCAAATCTGTCCAGTTGTTCACAAGACATTCAGGTCTTGTGAATTATTCCATGCAATTATTCCACAAATTGGAATAATTATCCTGCTGTATAAACCCTGCATAACCCAAAAATGGAGTTTCACCATATTGGTCTTTGACTACTTCTGGTCCTGACAAGGTAGGTGTTTGTACCAGAAAAGGTCCTAAAAAGTAACAAAAACAGGTGCACACACACACACACACACACACACACACACACACACACCCACACAACTCCCACGTAAAAACACACGCACACAAACTAATTCTTTCATTTGTTTATTCCGCGTCGCTGTGCGTCCCTGTATTCAAGCACATTTTGCAAACTCAGGGTGTCCCTGGAGACCCCCCTCCCCCCACCCCCACCCGTCCTCGACCGCAGCGCTGCAAAACCCGCCAACTCGCACAAACACGCACTTTCGCACAGTTTAGAGAGCGGCGCGCGGGAGTCTCCTCGCAGCTTCCCTCTTCGGCGCAGAGGAAGTTGAGTTGACAAACTGAAACTGAAATTTACATGCGTGTGCACATCGCTGTTTGCTGTGAACGTGAGTGACACAAAGAAGAAGACAGGGCTCATGGTTCAGCAGGTTTTAAAGCACAGAAATACAAAAAAACAGTGTAAAAACTAAAATATCTCAATGCAGCGTGAGTGTGAGTTGGATAAAATGTACACAGTAGTTACAGAGGAGTTTTTTTTCCCCTATTTGTTGAAGGACGTACCTGGAGGAGGAGCTGGTGCGAGCGAGGGAGCGCCCCAAGCCTCGGGAAGACCTGTACAAGAAGATGGTGGAGGTGGACAAAGAGGGCCCCACGTCCGAGGAACATTCCCAACGGGGCGTCACCAAACCTCGTTACATGCAGTGGAGGGAGACCATGAGCTCCAGCAACACGCTGGGCTTCAGGATAGAGGGGATCAAGGTAGTGCCCATAACAGAAAAGGGTTACATCAACCGCACTGTTTCAGCAAATCACAGAGTTTTACTCAGGGATTGTTTTAGGTTTGACAGACGGASAACAAGTCAGTCGTAAAGAAGTGTGTCATCCTTTTCATAGCCCGGTGTACTCGGCCCACAAGGTGTGCGCTCGTTTGTTCCTAAGGTGTAGCCGAGCTGCGCTGACAGCTCCACAGCAACACCTCTGATGACTAATCATCCACCACGCAGACGCACCTTACAAAGAAATCTGGAGAATTATGTGTGGATTTCTGAGAAACAAAGAACACGTTCAAATGGTCCAAACCTCTAAACGCTCAGTAGTTAAACTGTAGAGCGGTTAATCTTCAGGAGGTTTTAGTGTCATTCATCAAACTCAAGTCTTCTGCAGGTTCAAGTAATTCACAGAAAAGCGGTCTGGTCGCAGCAACACGGCCTGTTTCTGTGGTGCAGAACCTCAAAAAACAAACACAAAAAAACAGGGTGAGTCAAAAGTCTCAATACACKCTTTTATTTCAGAAAGAAAATATCTGAATACCGTAACAGGTAAATAGTGAGGGCATCTATCTTTTAGACTATGTCCAGAACATGGCCGCCATCTTGAGTCAAGAGCAGGTTTTACTGTGTTGAAAACTGAGCCATAATATGTATTGCACATCTGATTACAGCAATCCATTTCTGAGACAATTTTAGTCTTCTTTGATATGCTACATGACCCCTTCCCATTAGAAAAAAATTGTCCTTGATCCAATATGGCAGTTTTCAAGATGGCGGCCATATTCTAAACACAGTCTAAAAGATAGGCCCCCTCACCCATTACTTACTGGAGTATTTTGATTTCTTATTTTCAGTTTTTGTTTCTGAAACAAAAAGGTTGTCCTGAGACTTTTGACTCACCCCATGGATCAGTGTTTTTTAAAGGAATCCATTATAACATTAGACTTTATTTGATAAATATTTATTTTAACTGTAAAATAAAGACTGTAAAAATACTGTAGGCTGTTTGATTTTTATAATTTTTAAACTAAATTTTTAAAAATATGTTACATGGACTGAACCATTTTATTTACACGCAAAGCATTCTGGGTAAATAATGACGTCTACTAGGTCATCTTCGAGGCAGCGAGCTATATCCACCCTGAAGATTAATCTTGGACAATATCTGATGWTTGTCTCTTAGATGAAACCAGAGAGCGCTGACAGAGAGGAGAAGGTAGAAACYATTCAGTCTACAACTGAACATATGGATGGAGGACCTCAGTTTAGTTTGTTTGTCGCGCTAGCACTGAGCTAATACATATAATGCAATATGGCGTCGGTGCTAACGCTAAAGCTAACAGGCTAAGCTGAGGTTCTTCTTCCATGAAGCAGCTCTGTTGTCCTCCATTTATATTTTCAGTTACAGGCTGAGTCATTTCTACCTTCTCCTCTCTGTCAACGCTCTCTGGTTTCATTTAAAAGAGTCYATCHTCAGATATTGTCCAAGATTAACCTTCAGGGTGGATACAGCTCGCTCACACCGAGGACCTATCCACATCATCATTTACCCAGAATGCTTTGTGTGTAAATAAAATGGGTCTGTCCGTATTAAAATATATTTTTAAAAATTTACAAAACTGAACAGCCTACAGTATTTTTACAGTCTTTATTTTACAGTTAAAATATATGTTTATCAAATAAAGTCTAATGTTACAGCTAATCAGGGATCCCTTTAAACTTTTTAGCTTTCGGACCCCAAAACAACATTTGTGGAATCTTGTGACCCCATATACTGTATTACAGGTTTATGTATTCAAACGGAAATAATGACAATAATAATATGATACTGCTTTTATTCATTTATGATTAATCAATGTATTTATTATTTTTGCCATACTTATAGTGAAAACGTTCCACTAGCAGTTTATTTGCGTTTAAACMGATGTCTGGAAATCARACYGGGACCCTCACTTGATGTTTCATGACCCCCACATGGGAAACCACTGCTGTAGCAGAATCTGTGATTTTACGAGGAAAAGTGTAAGCATGGTGTAGACAGAGATCGTTTCATTGCGCTCTATAACATTTTTCTGCTCGTTTCTTCTCTCTTAGAAACACGACGGTTCGTGTCGAACCGACTTCAAGAAAACCAGGTCGGAGCCGGACGTCATCAAGGTGTTTAAAGACTTCGTCGGAGGGGACGTCAGCATTATAGTACGTGGCAGACACTTACAGAGCACTCATTTACTGAAAGACACACAAACTTCCCTTACAGTACTGAGCATATACAAACACGTACACAGGCGTCACCTGAAACGCTCGACTGACTACAAACACAAACTCTGTCGGCTCCTACATCTGTGTTCAGCGTTTAAACAGGGATAAGTAAATGATGATGTCTCCATGCTTATATATGAAATGTCAGGGATGGTTTAATAATAAAGTATTTGAACAGTAAGAGCAGAGTAATCCGAGCTGCAAAGCAAATATTACCTCTGCATGACTGATTGAGTTTTGGCCTTCGGATCCACACACACTCCTCACCTTTATGTAACACCATGTTTGTCTTTTTTTCCTCTCTCCCTTTGAAACACAGAGGTCTTATTTGCACAGACTGACAGAGATCCGGCAAACCCTGATCATGTCAGAGTTCTTCAAGAGTCACGAGGTGAGGGCAGAAACTGTATGACCACGAGGATGACTCACAACTTTACAGGAATTAAAAAACCGCTTACACAGCATTTCTGGCTGCACGCCAACAGGAGGTGGTTTTAGTTTCAACACAAAACTGAGACCAATCCAGAATCTAAATTATTTAACAAATTGATTGTTTTTATTTGTATTAAGCATTAAAACCAGAGGTGGGCACAGCTAATCAAAAAGTTAGCTTCACCAACTCATCATCTGCTAACAAGCTAACATCTGGGTTTGTCAGTCCCACCAGTTTTCAGCTGGACGGAGACAAATGTGTGATGTCTTAGCAGTTAGCTGTTAGCYTTAGCTTGCACTAAGTTTTACTTGTTTAGCTTTAGTGAAGTTATATTTTTAGTTAGTAGACGTAAAGTTAACAAAACCTAATTTAGCGGAAGCTAATTGGTCCGCAAACAGCTTTCAAAAAATCTAACCTGCTAAGAGATAAATTAGTTCCACTCTTAGCCGTTAGCTGATTAGCAGAACCACACCTACCATTATGTAGTTGGTACTCTATGGTTAGAAAGGCCATAGGTCTTATGAATCCCTTAAAGAATCTGTAAGGCTCTGTTTTCAAATCTTCATGTTTTATTTTTTCAGTGAGGATATGTATTTGGTTTTGTTTAATCTGTGTAAAAAAACCAAACCAAAAGGCTCAAACTCTGCTCTTGTCGTTTCTTTTCCCAGGTTATCGGCAGCTCTCTCCTCTTCATCCACGACCACACGGGAAAAGCTCAGATCTGGATCATTGACTTTGGCAAAACCACGTCTTTACCCGAGGGTCAYACTTTAAGTCACGATGTTCCCTGGCAGGAGGGCAACCGGGAGGACGGGTACCTGTGGGGGCTGAAAAACCTCTTCTACATCCTGGAGTCGATCAGCAACGAAGGACCCGAGGAGATGAGCCAAACTACAGAAACACACCGCCACTGACCTTTGACTTGTAAGGAGCTAAAATTAACCTCAACCAGCCCCACAAAGAGATCCGACTTTTAGCTTTGGGTGATTTGTGCTTCATCAAAGCATGATGGACCAAAGAAGGCGCACCCTCAGCACGCTGCACCACTCAATATTTAATACTGACACAGACCAACGGAACAAAAAGGGACATGAAAATATCTCACGAGGGACTGAGCGAAGGAGCAAAAGCACTGACACTAATACGAGTTCCCACCCACACACAGAACAGAAGTGAGAGTGCAGGGATCCTGCGTTTGGTGGAAAAAAAAAAAGAACTTATAATGAAACCAAGATGAGAGCCAGAGTCAAACCGTCTGGTTTCACTCCACAACAAAGTCCTTTCAGGGAAAAACTGAAGTGTAAAGATTACACTTTGTTTTTAAAGAGTCTTTTAATGGATTTTAATCTTATAATTGCAGCACTTGATGCTGCGCCCTTTGTGTGAAACCAATCAACGTGTATGAGAAATTAAAATGGAGACGGTTTATTTGAAGAGTAAAACACTATATTGGTTTATATTCAGCTCAGACTGAGTCGTTACTCTTAGACGAGTTGAAACAAATGAGGTAAAAATGTGGGTTTATTTTGGGTTTGGTGTTTATCCTTATGCCTAAATGTTGAAAATTATTCCATCCATCCATTATCTGCTGCTTGATCAGGGAGGTCCATTCCTCTTCCAGGTTTTTGTAGAGGACTCCCAAGTTGTTCCCAGGTCCAGTCTCTGCAGTGTGTCTAGGGTCTTCCTCAGGGTAAGACCTGGCTACATTAGTACATCCTAACCAGTGGTGGGCACAAAACGCTAATCCACTAATAGCGAATCTAGCTGCTCTTTAGCGGACCGATTATCTTCTGCTGATTTTAAGTCTATTAAAAAAATTCACAATTCTAAAAACTTCTATTTTTATGCTGTTTATCCCAAATTAAGTTAAAAACAATCTTTTACAACCAGTGCTGGACGTGTCAGGCACCGTGTGTGGAGCATGTAGCATCTTTAGCAGCTAAACTTCAAACAAAGAGCAGCGAAAAGACTATACAGTAGGGCCACACTACAATTTTTTTAAATTACAAAATAAGTCGTAATATTACGAGATTAAAGTTGTATTACAAGAACCCCTACACAAAAAAAAAGCAGTTAAAATGAGAAGTGTTGGGCATCTTGTGAAGTTTTTGTATCGGTTTTAAGAAACACTTAATCTTTTAACACGTCAGCATCAAATTATCAGCAGCAGGACTTTGAAACGATTGTGCAAACGACTATATGGATTCATATGATGTAGTAAAGCTTTAGTTTAGTTAACGGCATTGATGGATTTAGTCATCACATAATGTGGAAGAAAGCATATTACACGAGTGACCCCATCGTGGTTTACTTCCTAAACACAGTGACACGCACGGCTGTCGACAGCAGGTGTGAGGAAAATGATGAAAACAAAAACAGGAACGGAAAATGGACATGTTTGATGATTGACTTTTTTTCTCACAATATTATAATATAACATAACAATAATATAACATTATTCTAGTAATTAAACAAAAAAAATCTTATTGTGTATGGTCCTAAAACTCCGTTGTTGCTGTTGTTTGACTAACTTCAAACTATATTTATAAAAATACAAACTTGATCAAAGAAATGCTTTTATACTGAAGGGATTAAACCGGAAGTATAGCCTCTGGTTTAGATTAGCCGATTGGCTACAGATGATCCCACCCACCTTCAAATTAAACCAATAGAAAATAAAGGTTTTGTCGTCAGCTTCCAATTTTTTTTAAATCTGGTTCGCTTTAGCGTAGCTGAGAAGTTTAGCGTWTTAGTGGTTGTGAAGCTAAACTTTWAGCTTTTATCAGCCRTTTTTTTTTTWWAGCTTTTAGCCTTTTATTTTTCTAAAACTTTATTTACACATCAACATCTGGAAATCAGAACATTATTGTTTCCAGTAAGTTCAGTGAAGTTAGAGTGCCTCTTTATTCAAGATATATTAAAAATATACTATTTTCAGTTTGTGTTTTCAAATTATCGTGATGGCAACGACCATTAWAGTAAATAAAAATCAACTCAAAACATAAATGTGTAGAAACATTTACGTGAATAATTTGCTGTGAGACAAACTGAACAGCTCCTCCTACTGGTTGAGCAWTGGTATTACATAAACAACTTTAACAAAGAGCAAGAACAAAGTTTATTTAAAAATAATGAAAATACAAATGCAGTTGGTTGCCTACAGAGGTGAGTATAAAAATAAATATTTTCACAGCTGCTAGACTGGCTTCCATCTCTTACACTTTCACTTACAGCTTTATCAGACGGGTTACTGGCCAACAGAACCAGAACAWGAAGAAAACATTTGAAATATTATAAATTATTCAATTGTTTTTAATAAAATGTGATATTCCTATTAGTATTTTAAAGATTCTAACTCAAAAAACAACAATAAGACGACTAAATATTGATTTGGTGACCAGTGATGTGAAAAACAAATATTGGATTTTTTTTTTGTATTTTCATTAGATGAATATTTTATTTTTGTAAAAATGCCAAACAAAATTTTTCGAATGAGCATCAGATAAAAAAATCCTGAACTTAAATGMGTACTAGGATTATTTTTTCTGTGTAAAAATATTCTACAGTAGCTTTTAAAAAGGTGTTTCATTTCATTTTAGTTTAATTTCAGCCTGAGAGCAACTGTACATTCAGTTTATAATAAAACAAACCATTTACATCTTTTACATTCTAAACCAGCATCAACTAAAGTTCTAAATAAAAATAAAGTCAAAACATAAATACTGGTTAAATATGTCCACATTTTCACTAWTTCTAACGACTAATCCTAATAAAACTGGTTTATCTGCAGCTGATTGTTTGGTTTTACCGCCCCCTGCTGGAAAAACACAAGTATTACACATGGCAGTGATTGAACTACAACACATTCAACAGAAAACATAAATGTTGGAATAAAAAGCTACAAATAAATATCCAGTGTTCAGAAACCAAGGTAAATATACCTCACAGATACAAGGTCTGGCTACCTACTTATAAAAACACCTGCAGGTCAGGTACACATTAAAGCAAGAGATTTAACACACACACACATTGCATCTTTCTATCTTTACGGGGACTTTGCATTGACTTCCATTCATTTTTCATGCATTTCTACAGCCTGACCCCCACACCCTAAAATGATCAGCCATATTAGAACCAGTCTTTGGGCCCTAAAAGGACTACTGATCCTGACAAGGTAGGTGTTCATACCAGAAACTGTCCTAAAAAGGTAACAAATACATGCACACGCACACATACTATGTCTCTCTATCCTTGTGGGGACTTTCCATTGACCTCCATTCATTTTTTGGAAATTTTATAGCCTAACCCTGATCATTTACCCTAAAATTAACCTCACATGTAGCAAACCTGACCTTAAAGCTAACCTAAACTCAATTCACACCTTGATTCTAACCTGACATTGGTCCCCACAATTCACTTCGGTCCCCACCTGGCTGCTTTTTTTTGTAAAAAATACCCCATGTTGTAGG